ATAAAACAAACTGCATGGGAGTGATTGTATGAAATACAGTATGAATGAAGGAAAGTGTGAAAATTTTTGTATGCAAGCCAATATAAAATAAAAATCAAACCAAAAAAATATCATAAAATGTAAAATATTTTGTCTTCCCCTTTAACTATTTTAAGAACTAGATGAAGAAATAGAAAACATTCAAGACACAGTTTGATAGCTTGCCTGAGTCTAAGCCTCTTATTGGCTGAAACAGTGAGTTTAACTAAACTCTGGGATCTTCCCCAACTTATCTCTTCTGTTATTGAAAGAGTTACTAAGTGAGTTCCAAATCTGTGCTTCAACTTTTAAAGTGACTTATTGTACATGCTTGTTTATAAAAAAGATCTGTGGGTCACTGGGATGCCTTTTTCTTTTGTCTTAGTTGAGAGAGATAACATACCAAAATCAGTCGGAGTAACTAAAAACAGTTGCTTTCATGTTGATTCTGCCTCTGTGACTCCCTAAGTGTCAGAGTTGCACTTTACAGGATTTTCAGTGGCTGTGATCTTTCGACAAAAGCAGCTCCACCTTTCTTCTAAGGTGCCTCTGAATGGATGCGAACTTTTAAACTTTCATTTAGCAGACAAGCACCTAAACATTCGTATCATTGAGGGGATAATTTAACTAATGTGTTAGTTGCTTTAAAGATAATTCCAACCCATGAAGGCCTGCGTGTGCAGTGTACAACTGCATTAGTGGGTTTTCTTGGTTGTGATCTTTACAGAAACACACTGCCAGAATTTTCCCCCCATAGAACTCTGGGCAAATTTGAAATGATAAACTTTAAGTTAGAAACTGAGCATAAACCATTTGTTCCACATACCTAAAAATCCCAAATAATACCTATTATTATGGAGTTTGCTCCAACCCACAGAGCTGTTTAGGATGTGATAGAACAGAACAGAACTGCCTGATAGGGTTTCCAAGGCTAAGCAGGCTACCAGGTACTTCTACTATGGAGCCACTCGGGGGTTTGAGCCACCGATCTTACTCTTACAGACAATTAAATGCCCAAGAGCCAACTGAAAGGTTGGTGTTTTAATCTACCCAGTGGTTCTGTGAGAAACCTGACAATCATTCTCCCATAAAGATTACAGCCTATGGAACAGGTCTCCTTTGTCACGGGAGACCACTGAATTAAAATAACTCAAGAGCATCTAACAGCAACAGTGTTTTCCATCTCTACTCTCCACTCCACCCAGAAAATAAAAATTCTTTCAAGTTAAAAAAAGAACCCTGGACAACTGATAAAAAAAATAACTAGCTATCAACTGGGAGGATAAAATCATGCCAACTTGCAACAGCAGCTTGACTTTAAGGGCTAGTGCTGTGATAAAAGTTATCTTTATACTTCTCAATAGACCTGATGTGACACTCTCAAAAGACTGAAAGAGATGCAAGTCTGAAGTCTTTTCAATTTTCAGAACCTTATTAATTGCTTGAAACCATCCAAAAACCTATGGAGCATACTTGCTAATGTTCTGAAGTCTATAAAGGAAGCTTTCTCTGCTTTCTGCAGAGATTACTTTTAGCTAGAAGGTATCCACTTGGTGAGCCCTTTCGTGGGAACACATTGATCATTAGAATGTGACTACAGTGATCGGGCCTTACTGGAGTGATGCTGTTTCGAAACACAGGCTTCGAAAGGACTCACTGGAATTCCTTCTGCAGCTTCCCCTTCACCTCTAGTTGGAAATACTTAGGAGGACCTATTTTCCAAGAATAATACTTGACCTAGGCTGAACACTGTGACAAGGATGTGTCAAATGTGTTAATGTTTGGCTACCCAATGTGGACTGAGAGTGGGGTGGAGTTCCCCGATTAAAACAAGCATGGAAGGAGGAGTGGCATCCACTTCCCTAAGAGCTTGCCTCTGGAAAACCTATGAACCTGGAGAGAGGATGAAAGGCACCCAAGCATCAAGGACTCTCCTTCATAGGGTCGCTATGAGTCGCCTGTGACTCGATGGCACTTAACAACAACAACAACAACAATCTTTAGATAACCATCATAGTTAGAAAGTGTATCCACATATTAACTTAGAATCTGTATCCATATTTAAGGGCTCTCCAGACCTTTAGAGTTCTGTAACAGCTGGGTACTATGGACAAGGCATTGTCTGACTCTAGAGAGGGTTTGGCTGCCTTCTTGAAGGAAGTTAATCCAATGACATGATGGCCTTACCACCTTTTGCTTTCCTTTCTCCCATACCATCCCAATTCTCCAGAATTAGAGGAGTCTTTACCTAGACATCATAAGATGTCAAGGGATAAAACGAAACTCCAATTCCAATAGCAGGTGGTAGCTTCACAGTAGTATAGAAGGGAGGATTTGGGGGGCTTCTGTTTTTACCACATGCTTTGTGCCCCTTGAGTCATCCCTGAGTATCAGAATAAGCATAGAATGGGTTTTCTTGGAGGAAAGGACATTGCTGGGGTTTTGAAGAGAGAATTTATGCACCAGAAAGGAGATCAAACTGCAAAACTGATCCCGGATTCAGTAAAATTTTCTTCTTTCTTTGGAATACATGGGATAGAAATAACTTTTGCTATTATTTCATGAAGGAAAATGACATGTAAGATTGGTGAATAGATTTCAGAGAAAGGTTATTTACTCTTGCAACTCTTCCACAAGGCACCACGGAAATTTCTGGATCAGGCCTGTCTCTGGGTGACTTTTCTTGTTGGTTTTTTTCAAGAACTCATTATTCTAAGTCTCTAGTGGGAGAAGAGGAAATTTCAAGACCTTTGTGTTCCCACTGTGTCACTGACTTTGAAGAAAATTGGTGATTGTTAAAATAATACACATGCCCATTTGACAAATGTTTGTAACGGCAAAATTTGGAGTTTTGGAAGACACCTCACAGGTTTTATTCTAGGCTTAGTTTAGCTGTAACACAAACTGAACCAGACCAACTCAACCTAACCAACTAACCAACTAAATGAAAAGAATTTCTCAAATAGGGAGTGTCAGGTTGAGGGAGCGAAAAGAAAGATGGGTTTTGCGAGTTTTCATTTTAGGAGAAGATTCTTAAAGGTCAGTGTACAACTCACCTATGGAGTAGGATAAAATGCAGATTCCCAAAATGCACCTGTGGAGAATCTGACTTCACACATCTGGAGCCTGGCCCCAGAATCTGCAATTTTATTAAATATCCCAGGTTTTTCTATTGCAGATGGTCTATGGTTTAGGCTTTGCAAAGTTGTAGGAAGCACTTATTTGGGACTTTTCTGCTGTGAGGGCCTCTGTACCCACTTTAATCATCTTGTTTCCCTTCAATCCTTTCCTCATCTGTCAGTGTGTCACACTGTGTGGTGCAGTGATGCTGGAAGCAATTCATCTGATATTTTAAATGCCAGCAGGATCACCTATACAGATAGCTTCAGCAGAGCTTCCAGTCTATGAAAAGTTAGGAAAATAGTCCTGGTGATCTACTGCTGAAAATTGGACAACAAAAATGTTATAGATTACAACAGAATGTTGAATGGTATTGCACTGAGAGCTGAGCATTAGTTCACTAGGCACTGCGTACGAGCCACTAGCTGAGTCCTATGTGTAAGGGACTCGAGCACATCAATGATCATGAGGGAGTTTAGTTAGTGCACACGATTGTCATAATCTGGAGCTGACTGAAGACAGCTAACAAGAATTTATTATTAATTACTAGAATCTTTTATTATAAAGTAATGAATGAAGTGTGAGAGAAATTACCTGTTTTTGTTTATGTTTAAATTCAAGTAGACAGTAATAAAGCTGAAAGAAGTGTTTGAGAACTGTTTTTAAGACTAGAAAAGCCAGTCACATACTGTTAGCCAGCAATTCCTGAATAGGAGACCTATCTTTCAGGTGTTCCTTCTCTGCTAGCACACAGATTTTGGGTCATGTTATTTCTGCAGGCTATAGAAATCATTTCATGAGTTGACAACAGCATTTTAAAGAAAAAAATATTAGAATGCATTTCTGGTCAGGTGTATAAATCTAGTTTCAGCATTTTTTTGTCTTGTTTTCACATCTGTGTGCTTGTGTGTGTATGCTGGTAATAGCTTTCAGTATAAAGTCTCTTTCTTACTCTGGGCTCATGATTGAAAAATTTGAAACCTACTGTCTTACCTTATAATAATAAATTTCTGAGAATGTGTCAGTGATTTGGACCACACTTTTCAGTGGGGTATGTGTTGCAATTGGCAAGAGCTAATGAAATCCATTTCTTCATCAGACTAGTAGTTGTGCAGCTCTGAATTAATTTGTTTAAGTAGATGTGAAGCATGCAGGGGAAAGACGTTAATGGTCATAATAAGATAAAATTAGAGGATACTGTCAAAAGAGCCTGTTAGTTTTCTGGTTATTTTTTTTAAAGTGGTAATAGAGAAAGAAGGTAAAAGTGGAAAAAGATTGTTCTTGGAAATAAGGATCCAGATGCAGGGCATTTGGGAAGGCTGCTCTGGTAATAAAATAAAAATATTACTGATGTATAGTTGTTGTTGATTGCCTTAGAGTCAAGCACAACTCATTGGGACCCTATGAACAAAAGGCCTGAAGCCCCTCTACAACTATTGACATTTATCAAAGTTCATAGAGTTTCCAGAGGCATGTTTAGAAAGTCGATGCCACTCCTGCTTCCAAGCTTAATGTATAGAGTGAGCTCTATTGGGAAGATCTGTTTCATTAAATGCCCAGTCTCAGTTGTCCTTGAATTAATCTTGATTCATGCCAACTTGATGGATTGCAAAGTAGTACTGCACTGCATGGGGTTTTCATGGCTGTTCTTTTGGAAGCAGACCATCAGGCCTTTTGGGGGAGGGCATATCTGGGTGTGTTGGAGCTGTGTGCTTTTAGTTGGTGCACAGGGTTCATTCTTTTGTGATGTCCAGAAAATAACTTTTTTAGACGAGCACCTTGGTAGTACACTCTAATAATGGTTTAACTGGAAAAATGGTTCACAAAACACAATAAGGAAAGCATTTTCTTTCTTGCTTTAGATTTCAACAGGTGAACCATCTGAGAAAGATGCTCTGCAGCCAGGCCGGAATCTGGTGGCAGCTGGCTATGCCCTCTACGGAAGTGCCACCATGTTGGTACTCGCCATGGAGTGTGGTGTCAACTGCTTCATGCTTGACCCGGTAAGAGACACTGGGGAAAGATTAGGTTCTTTAGCTCAAGTTATGTGTAGTGAGGATGGGGTTGGAGAATGAGAATGAAGTCCACAGAGGAACAGAGTTGACAGAAGGACAACAACTTTATAAGAAGACCATAAAACACAAAAGGGAGTCATGCCCTGAGGTTAAGTCTTTAGAATAGGTATTTATCAAGTGGCTCAAATGCCCACTGAGGCCAGGCAGGCCATAGAAAAGTATGATTTGTACAGGGTATGGTCAGATACAATGATGGAGACTGTGGAGAACTGGAGAGGCCAGCAATTGTCACTATTCAGAAACATATGCCCAGTATGAGCAAGGTTTCAATGTTTCAAGAAACACAGGTTTTTATCTTTTAAGATAATATTCTAGATTTGTAAAACATTAAACATTGTACTAGTCTTAAACAAATACTTGTACACTGATGATAATTGCAACACTACTTACATAGCCAAAAGCTGGAAACAATCCAAGTGTATCAGCAGGTGACCTTAACTCCAGATATACACTATAGCTTGAGCGAACCTTGAAAATGTTATGCTGGGCAACATCAGTTAGACACAAAAAAACAACTATTGTGTGATTCTACTTACTTGAAATTCTGAAACTAAACAAATGCCTAAAGGGGGAAAAATCCATTAGTGGTTGGCAGAGGCAAGTGGGAGGGTAAGGAATTACTTGAGAAAGAGTCTGTGGTTAGAAATGGACAAATTTGGAAACAGTAGTGAAGGATGCACAACATGCTGGATGTGATTAATGTCAAATCCTACATGTAAAAAATAATTGAATGTAAATTTTTTAAAGTTGTTGTTATGTGCCATCGTGCCAATTGTGACTCATAGCAACCCTATGTACAACAGCCCTATACTCTGCTCTATCCTGTGCCAATATTATTGTCCCCAACATACCTACCCCCATTACTTCAGTCACTGAATCAATCCATCTCACCAAGATTCTTCCTCTCTTCCTCTTTCCCTCCACCCTCCCAAGGATGATATCTCTCTCCAAGGTCTGGTCTCTCCTTCCAACATGTCCAGAGTATGTCAGACGAAGCTTCAGAATCCTTGTCTCCAAGGAGCAGCCTGGTCTCACCCTCTCTAAGATGAACTTGTTTGTTCTCTTAGCCATCCATGGTATATTCAGTACTCTTCTCCAGCACCACAGCTCAAAGGCATCATCGATCTTCCCTAGTCATTTTCCAGCTTTCTGATGCAAAGCAAGTAATTGTAATGAACATGGCCTGAATCAGACACACCTTAGTCTCTACTCTGATATTGTTGCTCTTCAGTACTTTGGAGAGGTCTCTAACAGCAGACTTTCCCAATGTAATTTGTCTTTTAATTTCCTGGCTGCTGGTACTGAGAGTGTTGATTGTGCAGCCAAGAAAACTAAAGCTGTTAACAATCTCAATCTCTTCATTGTCTATCATGATGCTGCCAATTGACCCAGTGGTGAGAATCTTTGTTTTCTTGATGTTGAGCTTCAATCCCTATTGAAGGCTACTGTTCTTGACCTTCTACAGCAAGCATTTCAGTCCGTCTCAGTTTTGGCAAGCAGGGTTGCATCATCTGCATAATGCAGATTGTTGATAAGTTGTCCTCTAATCCTGATGCCACATTTCTCCATATATATATATATATATATATATATATATATGTCAACCCCCTGGATAACCTGTTCAGCATATAGATTGAAATGGTATGGAGATGGGGCACATTCGTGGTATACATCCTTCCCATTTTGAGCCATGCAGTATTTCCTTGCTCTGTTCTGAAGACTGCCTCCTAGTCCAAGTATAGGTTTCACATAAGCATAATCAAGTGTTCTGGGATTCCTATTCTTCTCAGATTCAGCCACAATTTGTTGTGATCCACACACACAGTCAAATGCCTTGATATTCCCCTTGTACTCCTTGCCTTCAGCCAAAGTCCATCTAACATTTTTTTAACACAAAAATTTTTTGATACTTATCTATAATTTCAACACAATAAAAATTTGAAACTAAAACAAACCAACACTATGATAGCTAACCAGACCACATTTGAGGGCCCCAGGGGTGGGCTAGCCCACTTGCTACCTGGGCCTTAGACTACATTTATTTCTAGACTCCACCTTGTTCAGCAAGAGGTGGTTTTCCTGAGGTGAACAGCTGACCCAGGTGCATTGCTTTTTCACAAACCCTTCAGTTAACCCTTGCTGTATTGGTAACATCGAACTTAAGGAAACAAAATAAGGATTACTCCCTAGTCCCCCTTACAGAGAAGAACTATGAAGACTCCTTAGCAGTTTTAGCTGTGGATAATTCTTTACATACATTCATTAATATGTGTAATTTTCATGCAGATAAACAACAGGTTCAACAGAGAAGACAAAATTAGAGATGGGCAGGAAGGAATTCCTTCAATATTTGGTGTAACTTTATAATTAAGACAGACTCCCAAGGAGTAGTCTTTAAAACATAAGCATGCTGTTTATGTGTTTGGTCCAGTGTTCCTAGAGGTAAAGAAGTGGTTTATATGCCCGTTTTTGTTTAGAAATGTCCTCCCATGAAATTAATGTAACTGTTTATACTGTGTAATTTGCTGATGAACTGAAGACCAGGTACAGATGGTGAACTTGGAGCTCTGGGATGAGACCCTGGGTCTGTGAGCTTCAGGGAGCGTAGAGGACAGCACAGGTTGTTTTTGTTCCATGCACACTTGCGTCATTGGACTTTCATCTTCTTGGAAGTGTGGATACTTAATAAACAAACAAAAGTAGGGAAAGTTCAGCAATTAAAACCTCCAGAAGAAGTGACCTTACCCCACCAAAAATGTGGCGGAACCAGGGCAAAGGTGAGATGTGCCCTGAAGTCGCTGACATTTTCAGACTTAATGACTGGCCAGACTCTGACCACTACAGCAGACACATTCTTAGTGACTTCTCTGCTACTATTGTGTTTTCAACTGTTCAGCAAAGAAAGTCTGTCACTTTTTGTTTCCCTGGGAGTGGGTGTCTGTATTTGCTAGTCTTATGCTCTTCTCTCATCTCTGGGGCTATTGTGCCCACGCACATACCATCCTCTGACCAACGACTGTGGCCTCATGCCAGGGAGAAGCTTAGTGCTGTCCCTTGCTGTCCTATCACACTGCCTGGGCAGGTTGAGGACTTCTGCCAGGATAACCACAGCCACTGTGTCTCCAAACCAGGTCTCCATTGTGGGCAGCGCCTGCTCTACACATGAACAGTGTATGAGAAGACTGCAGATCACAGACTTTTGAGACATTTACTTATTTTGTTGTAGTTATGTGCCATCAAGTCTCCTGTGACTCAGAACCAATATTCTTTAACCAGAGAATATTTCTAAAAAAGGAGCTGCATCATTGGTCTTTCAATGGCCACTGTTCATTTTACTCTAGATTCCCCTCCTCTCCTGACTTCCCTTCCTTCTCATTCTAGTTGCTTTCTTTCTTCCTTCACTCTCCTCTTTCCTCCCCAGGTTCTACAGCAGGAAAGAATTTTTCATGCTCCCACAGCAGCAGCAATCAGTCTTTTCTACAGACTGAGTAGCAGTATGACGTGTATTGATAGGACACCTCTCTGTTCGCACCTCTATGGTACAATGCCTCTCTCCAATTAGGCAGAGCCCAGCTACCCTTTCAACCATCATGAAACCTTTACCCACTCTTGGGTCAGAATTGTAGGACATGTGATACCACCCACCTCCACCAGCTCAAGTCTCCTTAAAAGCACCTGAGCTCCAATAACTGGCCCCGTGGTATGTTGTGGGGAGGTGCTGGACACCAGGCTTCTTAGAGAAAAACTATGTCTTGCTGAGAGACACAGTTTTAGTGCGTTCTCTGAGCAGGACACAGTTTTAAAGGTGTACATGCCAAGACATCAACCCCAGTGTTGTGTATATGCTAGAGAAACACACAAATGACAAGTTTTTGTGAAGATCAAGTTCTGCCATGAGCACACCTTGACAAGGCCCCACTTGGGACTCCCACCGGCTGTCTGTGCCAATGCTGCTAGAGAACCAGGTGAAAAGTGTGTTTTGTCTGATGTCATCTGTAGCACTTCATGTCCACTGTGCTACCTTCTCTGTTTCCTTTCTTCTCACCACCCCTGTTCTCTGCCTCACTTGAAAATCCTTTTAGAGGTTGGCATGAGTCTCCTGTGCCCCAGGATGAAGACAAGTCCCAGACACTAAAGTACAGGGTGACCTCAGCCTACATCCTCAACCCAAACACATCACATCTCTCATGAAAGAGCTCCTTGTCCACCTTTATTTTCTTGTCTTCAAGGCCATTGGAGAGTTCATCTTGGTGGACAAGGATGTAAAGATCAAAAATAAAGGGAACATCTACAGTCTCAATGAAGGCTATGCCAAGGACTTTGAGCCTGCTATTACAGAGTATGTTCAGAGGAAGAAGTTCCCCCCGGTAAGTGAGGAGCGGTGGCTTCTTTCTACTGTGCAAGTTCTATGCATCTGGCATTCAAGGCAGCTCTGTGGAGGACAGGGACAGGGCTGCTCCTGCTCCTGAACAAATTTTGTTGGATTTTCGAGATTAAGACAAACTAGGAAGAAAGGCTTACAAGTCTACTTCCTAAGAAATGAAATCTTAAAACTCTTAAGAATCATAATGGTTTAATTTTGCTGTGCATGGGGTCTCCAGTAATTAATAACATTACCAGCCAACTCCTATCACAACAAAGTCCACCTCAACCTTCATGCTTCTATTAGGTGGCAGTTTTTGTGGTTTTTCAACATCCCCACAGCCATATCAACCACACTGTCCTCAGAACTTCTGGACATATGTTTGGACATTAATGTCAGATGTGTAAGGGGCTATCTCTACTATTTCATCTTCTGCTTATTAAGAATGAGTTTTTCATCACATTTCTTAGCACAGATCCAGATACTCACTCTTTGATGCTCAGTCAATGGCTATTGGTTGAGTCAAATAATTGTAGGAGCTTCAAAGAGAACCCCTTTTCTTCCCTGTAGCCCTTGTTATTGTTGGTTTTAATCTTGCAGGATAATTCTGCTCCTTATGGTGCCCGGTATGTGGGATCCATGGTGGCTGATGTCCATCGTACCCTGGTCTATGGAGGAATCTTCTTGTATCCTGCTAACAAGAAGAGTCCCAAAGGAAAGGTAACCATACTCCCCCAAAAAATCTGGTTGGAACAGTGACTTTCAAAGTCAGCCTGGAGATTTGGGTTAGGAAGAAGGAAGGGTCATGGAAGCTACTGAACTCCACAGTAAATTAAGATGTTGGTGGCACATATTTTGCTAGATTGAAAGTTCCTCCTGCTGAAGGTAGGTGATTGCTGTTAAAATTACCTCTCAAGACTCCTTGAATTGCTCAGGCAAAACATCATTAGTGGTGTTATTATCAGAAACAGGGCTTAGTTTAGTGTGTCCAGTGGCTGCATGGTTTGGTTTGGGTGAAATGAATTCCACTCATAAACGGAAATGAGATAGTCCATTTTCACTGCCAGTATGACATATGAAATATGAATTCCAAACAGAGGTTTTCTTTGACTACTTTCAAAAGATGCAATTGGAAATAACTAATGAGCTGAAATTTGCTGTTTGGAAAATTACACCTTTCAGGAGAGGAAATCCATGCTTTTTTAGGAAAGCTGTTATTCCTGACTGCATTGGCCTGATGTCTATGTGCTCCTGCTAGCCATAACGCGAGCTGTGCCTTCTGACCATGGATGAGAAGGAGCCACTTCTCTTTTGCATAGGGTACTAGATCACTTGCCTCCAAAACACAGGCCTCTGAGTGGTTCCGAACACGCACAGGGCCTTCTTTTAAACATGTGAGAGACAAGAGGACAAAATTCTTTTGTTGTCTCTCCAGTTCATTGGAATTGCTTTCCAGTCCATTTTAAATAATGACAATGTACATGTGTCAAAGTAGAACATACTGTGAGGGGGTTTTCAGTGACTGGTTTTGGGGAAATGAATCTCCAGATCACTTTTCTAAGGTGCCTCTAGTTGGGCTCAGACCTCTGCTATTTGGATGGGCAGTCAAACACACCAGCCAGGGATTTAAAATTCCTTTAAGATAGAAATGCTATCACACTTCCGCTCAAGATTCTCATCCTATGTGAGTATTTGCTTTATTGCACTTTCCCTTAAGTCCTCAAAAGCTGATTTTTGGTGCAAATATCAAGGTTCCTCATTTTCAGTTTTGCCAATCTGACCATCTCAACTATCTCGAGCAGAGTCAGGAAACACCTGCAGGAATCTCTCTGCTTAGCAGGCAGACTGCATGGAAATGCACATGATCAAGGAGTTAATATTTACAAGTAAATGCCAAGACGTATAATATACTAAATCCCAGCCTTCAAGTCTTAGGAGATTTGTAAAATGAATGTGTAGAGAGTTGAAAACAATATTATACTGTTTAGAGGAGCCAGAGTGCTTTCCAGATGTCTGCGGCCAAGCACCGCTATGGGTTTTTGTACGCATTTAGAATAGGCAGTTTTCCACTCAAAACATGCAGAATTGCTCATTAACTCCAGTGTCTGGGCTATAAAGGGTTCTGCCAAAAGGATTTGGTCCCTGGGTCCATATGGTCAGTCTCATATTTGCATCAGGTAGTCAGTCACTTGGCTCTTCCTGAATGAGTCTCAGATGCACTCTTGAGGGGCGCTTTGCAATTTTGTAGAAAAGAGCTCTGAGCTATCCTGGAAGCTACAGAGAACTCTGCACTGTTTTGCTGCAAATGTCCTGTCCGTGCAGTATCCGCTAGAGTGTAGACGCTGCTCTCTGGTCTTGTCTTCCAGCTGAGACTACTCTATGAGTGTAATCCAATGGCCTACGTCATGGAGAAGGCTGGAGGATTGGCCACTACTGGGCAGGAAGCTGTGTTGGACATTGTTCCCACTGATATCCACCAGAGGGCGCCAGTTATCCTGGGATCCCCTGAAGACGTGTCGGAATTCCTGCAGATACACAAGAAACATGTTGCCAAATGAGCTCCTGGCTTTGCAGGGCCAGGTGGGTGCTGCACTGCTGTGTCTTGTCTGAGCTCAGACATTCCCAGTCAGCAGAAATGAAAGTGCGGGCATTTCTACCATTATGGTAAAATAGTATGCAATGTCTGGTATTACTTAATCTAAATACTATCATACTACTGCTCCTGATAGTCAAGCTATATTTTGAGGGGATGGGGAGAAATAAACATACTTTCTTTTTAAAAAAAGAGCTTTTACTTATTGCCTTGTTTTGGATAATGATAATAGCTAGTTCGTGTAGTAGGGAGCTCTGGTGAAAAGTGGACAGATCTCTGGTAGTTTGAATCCACTGACCACTTAGAGAGATGTAGATGGGCAATCTCCTTCAGTATGATTTGCAGCCTCTGAAAATCCACTAAAGTATTACCTAAAAGTGGATTCGCACTTAATGGAAACACGTTTGTTTGTTTGCTTGTTTAAAATAAATACAGTATTTCATAATGCATGCTATTGTTAAATGACATCAAGTTAAGAAATGACTCATAGCTGACCCTCCAATGGGTTTTCAGAAGCAATAAATTGCACACAAGGAGATTACCCATATTTCTCCCATGGAGCAGCTGGTGGATTTTAACTACATTTATTTGTGTTGGCAGTGCAATCCTTATTAATCAGGTGCTGTTATCAAGATCAACATCAAGAAGATAAAAATCCTCACCACTAGATCAATAGGCAACAGTATAATAGATGGGGAAAAGATTGACATTATCAACTGTTTTATCTTTCTTGGATCCACAATCAACACTGTTTGTACCAGCAGTCAAGAAATCCAAAGATGAGGGATCTGGAAAGACGGGGTAATGGTGGGCATAGTTTGATGGTGATTCATTTTAGAAAACACAATGAATGGGAATGATTATAAGAAATACAATGTGAGAGAAGGTATGAAACACACTGTATACTAACCTTGTATGCAAACCAATATAAAATAAAAATTTTTTAAAAATTAAAAAATAGAGTAGCACATTAAAGGAAAAAAATCCAGACATGTTGTTGTTATGTGCTGACAAGTAGCTTGAGACAAAAAAATTAAATAAAATTAAAAGACACTGAATTGGGTCTTAAGAAGAAAATATGTCACTTTAAAGACTAAGATGCATCCGATTCAAACCATGGTTTTTTTCTATTACTTTCTATGCATTTAAAAGATGGACAGTGACTAAGGATGACAAAAGAAGAATTGAGGCCTTGGAATTGTCGTGTTAAAGAATAGTATACTGTCAAAAGAACAAATTGATATGTCTTAGAGAAAGTATAACCAAGGTGCTCCTTGGAGGCTAGTATGATGAAGCTGTCTCACATATCAGGCAAATTGTTAAGAGAGGCTAATCCTTGGAAAAGGATATCATGCTTGGAAAGATATAGGGTCAGTGAAAGAGAAGAAGACTATCAGCAATATGAATTGACACAGTGACTGTAACAATGGGCTCAAATTTGTCAGAGATGAACCAGATGGCATAGACTAGGACAAGATCAGTTCCATTGTTCACAGGATTGCTATGAGTCATAGGCAGCTTGATGGCACCAAACAACATAATCAGTGCATTATGTAGGTGAAGAAAGGACTGAGGCCTGAAGTGTTCTGCCCAATAAATAAAATGCCCAATAAGCAGTGTAGCTGAGATATAAACTGAGACTGTTTGGCCACTAAGCTAATTCACTGACACACTGACTCATTACATGAAGTGGGGATTTCCAAGTTTGTTTTTTTTTTTTTATAAAATGTCATCTTCTTTATTTTTCAGAACAAAATAAACAAAACTCACAATACACAATATCCGATCTCATTCATGAGGTTGAGACCAGAGTTACCTGCCTTAACACACAGGACAGGAAAGAAAAATACTAGCTATCAGCAGATGGAGTCAGATGGGAGAGGGTAAATCAAGGCTGCTGTGGGAGCCACTGGGATGCTATGCGGGGGGAAGAGGGTGCGACAGTAGGAACTTCTAATCGACTTCTTCCACGCGAGATGCATCCTCATCACCCTCAAGTGGGGGGGAGCTCCTCAGGAACAGCAGCACTGGGTTTCTCAGCAGTCACCTCATCTTCATCAATGCCTAAGCCCAGCTTGATCATGGGGTAGATGCGGTTGGAGTGAGTCTGGGGATCCTCAAGGGAGAAACCAGAAGAAAGCAGTGCTGTTTCAAACAGCAGCACCTCCTTAACAGCTTTGTCATTCTTGTCTGCCTCAGCTTTCTGTCTCAGTGTTTCAACAATAGGATGAATCTCCAGGTGTTTTTTTAGTTATCATGTAGCTCACTGTCGAGTTGTCCCGAAATGCCTGTGCTTTCATGATCCGACTGTCCAGCCATGTGTGCTAGCCACGATGCAGCAGGGTGAAGATACAAGCCGATTGGAAATTATCACCTTCTCAACCTTCTTATCCAAAATTTCCTTCATGAACTTACAGAGATTCTCAAACTTGGCCTTGCTCTCCTTCATTTTCTTTTTCTGCCCTTCATCCTCAGGTAATTCCAGGCCCTCCTTGGTGACGGAAACCAGACTTTCCCCGTCAAACTCCTTGAGCTGTTGCACACAGTACTCTTTGATAGGTTCAGTCATATACACAATGTCAAAGCCCCACTTGCGCACTCATTCCACAAAAGCAGAGTTGGCCACCTGCTCTTACCAGTGATGTAATAAATAGACTTCTGGGTCTCCTTCATGTGACACACATATTCTGACAGAGAAGTCATCTCATCTCCAGACTGGGAAGTGTGATAGCAAAATCGCTCAGACAGGTGACACTGGTTAGTAGAATCTTCATAGATTCCAAGCTTCAGGTTTTTAGAGAATGCCTCATAGAATGTCTTGTAGTTCTCCTTGTCTTCTGCCAAATCAGAGAAGAGTTCAAGGCACTTCTTGACAATGTTTTTAAGGATGACCTTCAAAATTTTGCTCTGTTGCAGCATTTCATGAGAAATGTTGAGGGGCAGATCCTCAGAGTCAACCACACCATGGATGAAGTTCAGATACTCTGGTATCAACTCATCGCAACTGTCCATGATGAACACGCAGGGAACATAAAGTTTATTGTTATTCTTCTCCTTGTTCTCAAAGAGATCAAAGGGAGCCCGGCAAGGGATAAAGAGCAATGCCCTGAATTCCAGCTGGCTCTATACTGAGAGGTATCAAAAGAAGATGAAAGGAATATACTGAGTCATTGTATCAAAAGGAATTGGCAGATACAGAAGAATTTAATGAAATAACATTTGAGCAAGAGCCTACGGTGATGGAGGCAGAAGTTCAAGCTACTTTGAAAGAAATAGCAAAAAATAAGTCCCCCGGAATAGATGGTATACCAATTGACATATTTTAGCTAACAGATGCTGCCCTGGATGTGCTCACCAAGCTGTGCCAAGAAATCTGGAGAACAAGCACTTGACCAACTGACTGGAAGAG